AATCTGGGTTAGCATTAATTATCCTTCATCCTATTAGTACATTTGTAAACCCAGAGAATACAGAACTACACAAAACATCACCAGACACCATTCCCCCACCACATTGCTTGCTCTCTTCTACGTTTTGAGTTTTAAAGCAGCTGGAAATAGCATTTACCAAGTATTTGAATTGCTAGATCAACTTCTCCAACCTAATGCTCTCAAAGCAAGTTGGACTGCAAATAATAGAATTCTCAGCCAGCTGAAGATTATGAGGGCTGTAGTCCAATGTGTCCAGTAGCTACTTGATGTGGAAGACTGTGGATGGAGGAAAAGCTTATGTTGCCTGAAGTCTTAGGGACCAATTAAAATGTATGCAGAGTATGTCATGGCTGTAGTAATGTATGCCTATTAGGTAGACCAGTTCTGCTTCATATATTGATTTAGAGTTGGCTTTAATGATCTTGCAGGCTCAGGACTACCAAGTGCAAGTTGGGCTTTCCTGAGAAAACATTCCTCTCACAGTGGTAATGTGGTGTCCCTGAAAACAGTGTTTTTTCCTCTGTCTTTCTGCACTGTACAGATATCTATGTATAGGTAGTCTTCGTTTACTGACTGCCTCATGAAGTAACTGTCCGCAGTTACAATAGTATCTTTGTGACCTATCCTCACATTTTTTACCTCTGAAGGTCTGTAAAGCAAAGCAAAGATGATGTCAGTTTATAAGCACAGTTGCAATTTTACTTAGTGATCACTTTGCTTAACAACCAAGTTGCTGATCCCAATTGTGATCACTAAACGAGGACTACCTGTATATTCTTCTTCAAGACTATAACAGCCTGACTATCCTGGTTCCTTTATGTAGGGACAGTTTTATTTTCTACTTCCATTTATCTATCACCTCATTGTGCAGCTGTAATACAGCTGCCCAATCCTTTAGTACCAAATCAAGCACCATGATATCAGCATCCTTGATTAATAATATGCCAAAAATAGGTACTATAACCGACAAGGAAATATTGCAATTTCAGATGTCATAAGGGTGCATCTGTATGACTCCCCTTGTAGTTAAAAAAGGAAGTGGAGCTGTAAGGACTCAATTACTAAAAGGAAATAGGAAATAGATAAATTAGCAGCAGCAGTAATGACAACAACAAAAGGTGGAGGAAATCCTTGCCTTAAGGCTTCTGGAGCTCATGCTTTGATAGTAACTGACTGCAGTGTCACTACTCAGCTTCTTTATTTTGGTCCTCAAACAAGAAGCCTTTTCTTTTAGTCTCTGTGCTGTATTGACAATCTGTCTCTGGGATGGTAGTAAAAATAAGTACTAAAGGGGAGAAGTGAGCAGCTTGAAAAAGGAGAAAAGATGGGTAGGTGAAGATGTCAACAGCTGAACCTGCAGCTTATGTTTGCCCTAGATTTCTCCATTCATCTCCATAATCCACAAGAGGTCTGACTCTTTGCTGAGCTGAGCTGAAGCTGGGGATGGATGGGTCAAGGCAAATTATAGATGGACGAGTAAATACATGAGAGTCTTAAAAACGCATATGAAGACTCAGAGGTACATGCAAATGAGGACAAGGTTCTGTGGTCACCAGAGATGAGTGGGAGAAGTATGAGGTGGTGCTGCAGTAGACAGGTTGTAGGCAAAACCGGTACGGGAGAAGTCTTAACACAGAGATACCAAAGGATGGCACTGTGTATGCTAGAATATCTTCTAAACTGTGGTTCTGCAGCCAAGAAGGTAACAGTTCTGGTAGAAATTTGTGCTTTAATATATTTTGTTTTTGTTTTAAACAAAAGTTCCTACTTCCCTGAGGAAGTCTTGTCCACTGTTCTTAAAGGAACATGCCTTCCCCCATTCCAACGATCCTTTTAAACATCATTTTCATCCTCAGCATTGCCTTTCATTCTTTGCTTCCATATCTTCTTTCCATTGCTTCCTCCCTCTTTCTTTCATTTGTTTGTTTTTGTCTCTTCTTTAGTTATATATATTTTGTTTTTAGACAGTATGACTTCCTCCAGGAATCCCTTAGGTTCTTAGCTGGATCCCTTTTGCGTAGTCATGCATGTTAGTCTTTGGTAACATATGGACACTTTGGTGTGCCAGTGAGGAGGGGGAGATAGAGGAGCAGAGGGTGACCAAGTAGGAAAGGAGGAGGAATGTCTCAGACAATGGGAGCATTCACTGCTATCATCTGAGCAGCACATAAAGAAAGAAAATTAGAGGCCCGCAAAGAGAAGATGTGTGTTGGGTGACAGCAGAATTTCCTGGAAGGGCAACTGCTGTAGGGAAAAAAAGAGAAAAGTTACCTCATGAAAATTATCAACTGTTTGCAAAGCAAATTACTGTAGAAAGCACTAATAATCTAAGAATATAAATTACTGTGGAATGAAAGGATAATCTCAAGAATTCCAAGAATATTCCCCCCAAAACAAAAAAATTGGATGTACAGCTAGTCCTCAACATACAAGTACAACTGAGCCCAAAATTTCTGTTGTTAAGTGAAACATTTGTTAAATGAGTTTTGCCCCATTTTACCACAGTTGTTAAATGAATCACCACAGTTGATAAGTTTGTAAGACAATTGTTAACTGAGTCTGGCTTCCCCATTGACTTTGCTTGTCAGATGATCGTAAAAAATGATCATATGACCTTGGGACACAGCAATGAGTCAGTCGCCAAGCATCTAAATTTTGATCACATGATTATGGGGATGCTACAAAGGTCATAAGTGTGAAAAACGGTCCTAAGTCACTTTTTTCAGTGCCATTATAACTTTGAACAGTCACTAAATGAACTGTTGTAAGTCGAGGACTGCCTGTATTGAAAATTGAAATCACATGAAAACGAAAGGACAATTAGAATCCTAAATGTCTAGTTTTACTGTGCAAGCTGAATGTTTCAGAAACTAATGTGTTTTAGAGGCTATTGTACTACACTACCTTAACCAATTTCTTGCCATATTAAGCATGCACAATAAAACAGATATTTTTAGATTTTGTCTCTCTTTCAGATTTTGTATAAAGACAAACCCATACCTCAAAGAGTAGAAGAGATATAAAAAATAATGTCCAAGGACAATGGCCAATGAACTAATGTAGGAAGCTTCTTCATAACAGGCTAGATAATAATTGTATTCTTTTTTGGTCATACTATATCCACACTTTAAGAGGGATTCAGAAACAGTGGGGTAGGATCAAAGATGATCAGAGGACTAGAAACTAAGCCCTATAAAGAAAGATGGATGGCATGTTTGCCTTGAGAAAAGATATTTGAGAGGGGATGTGGCTGTACTCTTCAAATGCCTGAAAAGATGTCATGTAGAGAAGCATCAGGATCTGTCCTCTCTCATTCCAGAGTGCGGTATGCAAAATAAACGATGAGACCTGACAGAAAGTCAGATTCCAGTAAATCATTAGAAAAAGAGTTCTTAACATTTAGTTCAGTCTGACAGTGGAAGCAATTATCCAGAAAGGGAGATAGCTGCCCCTTTTTGGATGTGTTCAAACAGAAACTAGACAGCCACTTTTATGGGATGGTTTAATTTGAAATTCCTGCACTGAGCAGAGATTGGATATGATGGCCTCATCCAAATTAATTACTCTATGATTTGTTCAATCACTCAACAGTGACTACTTCAACTAACAAAGACTTTCCGGGATCTAATGCAGAAAGATCACTTTCCTATCATTTGGAATCTGATCCTATTTTTTGTTTGTTTGCTTGTTGGTTTTATTAAACTAGAAATACCAAGGATTAATTCTGGACATCCTACAGACATATTATTATTGATGGCTCATAGTTACCTTTTCTCCTTTAAGCAGAACTTCACAAAAGAATCTAATCAAGTTCTGCTTAAAATAATCCTAAAAATATTGACCAAGGATAATTCTCAAACAGTGAGAAGAATACAGTAGTCTCCTCTCTAACATTGATTTTGTTGCCCTTGTCATAGGGTAGGTGGGAAACTTTGAGACAAATATGCCCAGGGAAAAATATATATTTATAATTTTGGAAGACATCTCTCTCAGACTACATAATAAAAATCAGTAGATCCATCACCCATCCACCATCACAGTTTTTTATGCTTATTATTACTGAATAATATTATCTTGTTTTGTATGCTATGGTTATTGCTACACTCACCATTTTCCTAAGTCTGTAGATTCTAAAATTCCAACTTGTTTGGTAACAAATTTATCAAAACGGCCGAGGAATAGTACATTTCATTATTTTCTGTGGCTAGATGAGCTTGATACACTAATAATTATTTTCTCTCTTTCTATAGATATGAACAAGTATATGCTAATTATGAATAAGTATATTCTGATTATGGATACATATATTATTATTATTGTTGTTGTTGTTGTTGTTATTATTATTATTATTATTATTATTTGTAAACATAAATGTTGGTTAATATACAGAGCTTTCCCAATTTTTTTCCTTGGATTTGGGATGTAGTGATGCATACAATTCACCAAGGATAATTACTCACCTTTATTTGGGACAATTGGCTTTCTTGGACAATCACCTTTTTTCAGAGTAACATCATCAATGGCAATATCTCCCTCAGAACCTGTCCCACGGACACCTTCAAAGATGATCTGAGGAAAGAAAACATCAGACTTAGAAAGGTTTTTAAATGTCTAAAATTTCAACTCAGTAAAAAGAATGCCTTCCTGTGAAACTCAAGCCATCAGTCCCAAAGGCCAGTAGTTCCCCATGCAACACATTGTCTACTTGCCCCCAAGTTTCTGGAAGTTTCAATCTTGAAATGTCCCCAAATGGGGCATGATGGGTGTGATAACTGTCTCTCACTCCCAGATGAGATAGAAATTTAGATCAGCTTAAAACAAGAGAGAGAGAGAGAGAGAGAGAGGGAGGGAGAGAGAGGGAGGGAGGGAGAGAGAGGGAGGGAGGGAGGGAGAGAGGGAGAGGGAGAGAGAGAGAGAGAGAGAGAGAGAGAGAGAGAGAGAGAGAGAGAGAGAGAGAGAGAGAGANGCATTCACTGCTATCATCTGAGCAGCACATAAAGAAAGAAAATTAGAGGCCCGCAAAGAGAAGATGTGTGTTGGGTGACAGCAGAATTTCCTGGAAGGGCAACTGCTGTAGGGAAAAAAAGAGAAAAGTTACCTCATGAAAATTATCAACTGTTTGCAAAGCAAATTACTGTAGAAAGCACTAATAATCTAAGAATATAGATTACTGTGGAATGAAAGGATAATCTCAAGAATTCCAAGAATATACCCACCAAAACAAAAAAATTGGATGTACAGCTAGTCCTCAACATACAACTACAAATGAGCCCAAAATTTCTGTTGTTAAGTGAAACATTTGTTAAATGAGTTTTGCCCCATTTTACCACAGTTGTTAAATGAATCACCACAGTTGATAAGTTTGTAAGACAATTGTTAACTGAGTCTGGCTTCCCCATTGACTTTGCTTGTCAGATGATCGTAAAAAATGATCATATGACCTTGGGACACAGCAATGAGTCAGTCACCAAGCATCTAAATTTTGATCACATGATTATGGGGATGCTACAAAGGTCATAAGTGTGAAAAACGGTCCTAAGTCACTTTTTTCAGTGCCATTATAACTTTGAACAGTCACTAAATGAACTGTTGTAAGTCGAGGACTGCCTGTATTGAAAATTGAAATCACATGAAAACGAAAGGACAATTAGAATCCTAAATGTCTAGTTTTACTGTGCAAGCTGAATGTTTCAGAAACTAATGTGTTTTAGAGGCTATTGTACTACACTACCTTAACCAATTTCTTGCCATATAAAGCATGCACAATAAAACAGATATTTTTAGATTTTGTCTCTCTTTCAGATTTTGTATAAAGACAAACCCATACCTCAAAGAGTAGAAGAGATATAAAAAAATAATGTCCAAGGACAATGGCCAATGAACTAATGTAGGAAGCTTCTTCATAACAGGCTAGATAATAATTGTATTCTTTTTTGGTCATACACTTTAAGAGGGATTCAGAAACAGTGGGGTGGGATCAAAGATGATCAGAGGACTAGAAACTAAGCCCTATAAAGAAAGATGGATGTCATGTTTGCCTTGAGAAAAGATATTTGAGAGGGGATGTGGCTGTACTCTTCAAATGCCTGAAAAGATGTCATGTAGAGAAGCATCAGGATCTGTCCTCTCTCATTCCAGAGTGCGGTATGCAAAATAAACGATGAGACCTGACAGGAAGTCAGATTCCAGTAAATCATTAGAAAAAGAGTTCTTAACATTTAGTTCAGTCTGACAGTGGAAGCAATTATCCAGAAAGGGAGATAGCTGCCCCTTTTTGGATGTGTTCAAACAGAAACTAGACAGCCACTTTTCTGGGATGGTTTAATTTGAAATTCCTGCACTGAGCAAAGATTGGATATGATGGCCTCATCCAAATTAATGACTCTATGATTTGTTCAATCACTCAACAGTGACTACTTCAACTAGCAAAGACTTTCTGGGATCTAATGCAGAAAGATCACTTTCTTATCATTTGGAATCTGATCCTATTTTTTGCTTGTTTGCTTGTTGGTTTTATTAAACTAGAAATACCAAGGATTAATTCTGGACATCCTACACACATATTATTATTGATGGCTCATAGTTACCTTTTCTCCTTTAAGCAGAACTTCACAAAAGAATCTAATCAAGTTCTGCTTAAAATAATCCTAAAAATATTGACTAAGGATAATTCTTAAACAGTGAGAAGAATACAGTAGTCTCCTCTCTAACACTGATTTTGTTGCCCTTGGCATAGGGTAGGTGGGAAACTTTGAGACAAATATGCCCAGGGAATATAATTTTGGAAGACATCTCTCTCAGACTACATAATAAAAATCAATAGATCCATCACCCATCCACCATCACGGTTTTTTATGCTTATTATTACTGAATAATATTATCTTGTTTTGTATGCTATGGTTATTGTTACACTCACCATTTTCCTAGGTCTGTAGATTCTAAAATTCCAACTTGTTTGGTAACAAATTTATCAAAAGGGCCAAGGAATAATGTACATTTCATTGTTTTCTGTGGCTAGATGAGCTTGATACACTAATAATTATTTTCTCTCTTTCTATAGATATGAACAAGTATATGCTAATTAAGAATAAGTATATTCTGATTATGGATACATATATTATTATTATTGTTGTTGTTGTTGTTATTATTATTATTTGTAAACATAAATGTTGGTTAATATACAGAGCTTTCCCAATTTTTTCCCTTGGATTTGGGATGCAGTGATGCATACAATTCACCAAGGATAATTACTCACCTTTATTTGGGACAATTGGCTTTCTTGGACAATCACCTTTTTTCAGAGTAACATCATCAATGGCAATATCTCCCTCAGAACCTGTCCCACGGACACCTTCAAAGATAATCTGAGGAAAGAAAACATCAGACTTAGAAAGGTTTTTAAATGTCTAAAATTTCAACTCAGTAAAAAGAATGCCTTCCTGTGACACTCAGGCCATCAGTCCCAAAGGCCAGTAGTTCCCCATCCAACACATTGCCTACTTGCCCCCAAGTTTCCTGGAAGTTTCAATCTTGAAATGTCCCCAAATGGGACATGATGGGTGTGATAACTGTCTCTCACTCCCAGATGAGATAGAAATTTAGATCAGCTTAAAACGAGAGAGAGAGAGATTGAGAGAGATTGAGAGAGAGAGAGAGAGAGAGAGAGAGAGAGAGAGAGAGAGAGAGAGAGAGAGAGAGAGAGAGAGAGAGAGAGAGAGAGAGAGAGAGAGAGAGAGAGAGAGAGAGAGAGAGAGAGAGAGAGAGAGAGAGAGAGAGAGAGAGAGAATGTGAATTTCTGCCCCAAATGATCTCTTTTATATTACTATTGCTCTGCAATACTGTTTGTTGTTATTGTTAAACAAAATACAAAACTGACTTTGGTACAATTAATAAATCTTGGTGAAATCTTAATGAGAAAAGAAAATTCAATTCTTCTTTGCTACCCTTCACATGTCTACTTTTTTGGGAGAATTCTTTTTGACAATTGCACCCTTTGGGACTGGGTATAAGGTCTTGTTTTTTGTTTTGTTTTGTTTAAATGCTTTAGTTTATCAGTGAATTGTCTGCAAGGTGTTGCTGAGCTGATAAGGTAGAAGGCTGGAGGCTTTAAACAACCTCCTAGAAACTCTCTCAAACTTCACATCCTGGCCCTGTCTCTGCACTGGAGCAGAAGCTTGATAGTTCCCTGTGTCACTGACTAATCCCAGGACAATTTCTCCTGATATCCACCCCATGAACTATCTCACTATGTTCTGCCAATTAAAAGGTGAAAAAACAAAAAGCAATATAATGTCAATATTGCAATCTCCTGATTGTGTAACATGGAGGTATATGATTGAGGTCTTTCTCCCCTCCTTGGGAGATAGACAAATAAATAAAGCTTTATTTAAAAAGTAACAATAAAATGCAAACTCCCTTTTAACTTGATATATTAAAACATAGTCAATATTGATAAAGGTAAATTATAGAGCCATTCCAATACAGTTGCCAACTAAACAAGAACATTTCCAAAGAAATTGGAAGATGGCACTAGTCTGCTACAAACAGCAGATTCTCCCTGTCCAATGGGAGATGCTGCAACTGAATCTTACGAACTGCACAAACATTATATAGAAAATGAATATCTTCATGTCCAACCTGAAGAATGATAAAAAAGATAAAAAGATAAGATAAAAAAAATGAAATCACACAGAATTCACTACCTTGCGCAGAGAAAGACAAGGTAATTAGTGCAATACAAAGAACCAGAAATTAAATGCCCTACAATTCTAGAAGGCTGTTGAAGCAGATGTTTCCTTTTCCTCAAATTATTTGGATTTAAACAAAGACTGTATGGAGTGATCTTAAATCCTACATCTTTCCAGAGTTGCTCCAATAACTTCTGTCTTTTTTCAAAAAGACCAATCCCTTCTTTCTATCTACAGGAGTATCCATGACAGACAGCATCTCCTCTACATGGAAGTGGATTCTGTATGCCTGAGGCTGTGGGAAGGTAAACTGGGTGTCAGAGTAGATGGCTTGTTCAATCTATAGTCACAGCAAAGGCATGGTAATACCCAACCTTCCATTCTGCAGGGCTAGGTTGCCTCGTTCACACATTTTGGCTTCATTTCTGTAACATACAGTAGATCATATATCTACAGCTTGATACAGAACCTCTATTTTGCCATGAAATCCAGCTCTGTCTGTCTTTCATGGCCAATGTAAAGGGGTTTTGAGGTTTGGAGGATAGGATAAAGCCACGGGGCAGCAGTGACTTCTCTTATTAGAACGGGTCACTGCTCTTTTGCCCTTTGTCCCTACCTTGATATGAGGGAGGCCATCCCAAGAGCGGATTAAGGGAAAAATGAACTGCATTATCAGCTTGGGTGCCAAAATCTCCATAACTCGCTGCTATGAAGGCCAGAGCTATCCTTCTCCCCCTGTACTCTTGACTTTGGAATCACAGGGGGCTCCTTCATTCTCCGAGCTTGACAGTTACAGCTTCATTAGCCCGTGCCACCCGTGCTGTTCCCATGGTTACAACACTTTACAGGCAGCAAGGGCAGAGGCCCATTCACCTCCCATTCCCTCAGGAGTAGAGCCAACCTCTGCATTCATGTCCCATTATGCAAGCGAAGACTACAAGCCTGCCATTACTTGTCTTCCGATGATATAAATCCTCCTCACACTGTTCGCATACTCAGTGGATATTCAGCGTTGCTGCCTTCCTATTTGCTGAATACCGTGATAGGAGATTTACAGAATAAAGACCAGATGGAGATTTGTGTACACAGGCTGTGAAATTTCATTTGCCCCCAACCAACCTCTCTTTTATTTTACCTAAGGCAAGTGTGGCGGGGATGGGCATTTGCAAATGTTAATCGGTAATTCCATTCTATTCCTTGCTCATTCTGCAAATCTGGGTTTCTAAAAATCTACGCAACCTTGGTGCTTACAACTATTTCAGTACGTATCTTTTGAACATGCTAGAAAACAAGTGTGATGCATTCACTTTATCCTCAAATGCATAGTTTAAATACTTTTTGATTTTTTTTCTTGAGCCACAAAACTCCCATGTAATGTTAAGGGAAGTGAAAAATCCATCTGACTGCTAAGTTTGGACCTGCACATTTCTCTAGAAGAGGCAGATCAGTTCAGGTAGAAAAGAGATTGCTCCAGCATTTCTAGTGGCAATGATATCACATGTGTATATTTATGTGTAGAGAGCAAAGGGCAGATTTTTCATGCTCAGCTGCTCTGTTTTCCATAGAAAAGGGACTTTATCTGTGTATGCATACTATAAATGCGTATTTGTTTCCAATTTTCTGTCCTGTTCTGTTTTTCTGTAAGGCAGCATTTCTGTTGTAAGAATATTCCATTCCCTGAGATCAATATATTGTTCTTGGGAAAATGCAATATTTTCCCCCTAGCTAACACACTAATTGCCATTAAGTTGGCTACATGGAACCTGGCTGGCAACATATTGGCCACATATTATATGTAATTATAATATAATACTATTTTTTCTCTGTTTTACTCTTTTATGAATTTTCCAGTTCATTGTCTGAAATGTCTCTGAGGCAGTGTGTTATCTCTATATATTAATTCTGCAAAGGAATACTCATGTATGAAAAAATCCCTACATAGCTTTCAGTTATTACCAGTTATTTTTACAGTGCAATCCTACGTGTAGCTATTTAGAGGAAAGTCTTACTGAATTAAATGGTACTTAAGGCCAGGTAAGCGTGTATATGGCCTTAACCATAATTCTTCCCAGCAAAACGGCTTCATCTTGTATATATTGGTTATATAGAGTCTGGTGTTACATTTTAGTCACTAAGTACTTGGAAATGTTCCAGTTCTTCTTCAGTTCTCATAGTCTGATGAAGAAGAAATGAACTGGATAGAAGGGAGGAAAATGTTGATTATATAAGCCTCATGACACCTCCTTTAATGGAAATGAATCCCTCTCCCTCCCTCCCTCCCTCCCTCCCTCTCTCTCTCTCTCTCTCTCTCTCTCTCTCTCTCTCTCACACACACACACACACACACACACACACACACACACACGTATTGCTTTTTATGCTCCTCTGCGGTCCAACCTATTCAGAGACACTTCTGCAAAAGGAATAACCATCCCCAGGCTGAGAGTCAACAAGCTGGAATAAGCTCACACCAACTGAATGGTAACAAATTAGTTGCCCATCCCAGTTGTCATTAAGCACACAGCAATAGTTGAACTACAAGCAATAAGCAACGGGCTTACAAGTAACTAGATCGTTGTTTTATGGCACCCCAAAGTATACTGCACACTTTAGTGCTAAGTAAAAAAATGCCAACCCAAATGCTCACAACCTCGCCCAGTACAAGCAGCTTAAGGAATCATTCACCAAAGACAATAAGATGCCAGGAATAAAATTTGCAATAAAACTCTCAGGGAATAAACACCTGTGGATTTTAACACACACACACACACACACACACACAGAGAGAGAGAGAATAATAAATGGATATGTATGACCCTCTTCATTCCCCAATATAGTTCTATTTATTTTGCAGATGTATACAGTATCAGTTTTATACTTGTTCAATATTTACAGACCTGAAAAAGATCCCTGAGAACTGGTTTGCTAAGATTTTGGGTTGTTGTTTTTTTTTTGAAAAGCAGCACTGTTGATATAACAAAAAATGGTAGAATTTGCTTTATAGTCTGGGAGTTTAGAGTCTGAATTTCAAGGTACCAATATTAAATCAAACAGTTCACACAAAATCTGAACATAAACAGAGTTCATTTACCCAATAATGCTAAGTAAATATGTTTTTGTGCAACTTTATATGAACAAAAATTCTATCTCTATGCCAATTTGCAACCATAACTCTGCTTTTAAAAGACCATATCTGAGTTTTCATCTATATAATGAAAGAACAATCATAAACATGTCTAGTTCTTAATAGTAAACATAAACTTTTATGCAATTTATACATGCCTCATATGCTTCCAAAATAAAATAAACATTTGAAATCCCTAGAGATGGAATAGCACTTATAAATCATCTTTGTAGAATCACAGTGTGCAACTGTCTCACTGCTCACAAACAGCACAGAAAATTAATGCATAGTGGTTAAATTTTGCATAGATTCAACACACCATCACAGAATCTTTCATGAAACTATACAATATTTCCACAATAACCTTTAATACACACCTACATACAGGAGGTAAGATTTATCTAGCTGTATAGATTTACCTCCTACCCAGACCTCCCCCCATGTACAGGTTTTTTTCCCCCTCTCAGATCAACAGAGAGTTGATCTATTGATTGTCATAGGAATTGACTTGGCTTGTCACCCAAGCATGATGTTGTAGGCTGAGAGTGAGTGCTGGTTCCAAAGTCACCCAGACAGCTTTCACGTCTAAAGTGGGACTAGAACTCAGAGTCTCCTGGTTTCTAGCTTGACCAATCTGGCTCTCAAAGTTTTACTCCAAAATAGTTATGGGTCAAGATGCTATTGAACATGCAAAAGTAAGCATGGAACCCATACAAATAAATGGCACATAGGACATCACATTTTTCAAGACTGTTTATACAGTAGCATTGACAGCAACACAGTATGGATCTGAACATTTCTGTTTAACAGATAACACTGCGTACATTAGAAGAGACTTGCTACCCTGGATGATTCCACAGCTGACACGTGACATTGCAATGAATCAGAAGTAATAGTTCTGAGTTTCCTTCACATTTTTCGTTTCTGAAAATGTCTAGTAATATGGTTATAAAACATGGCATCACTGTGCTGCAAGTTTCCTCATGTAACCAGCTGCTGTTTATTGGAGCAGAGGCACTTGCAGCTGAGTGGTGGTCATCTTAACAATAAGCACGGCATCATCCTTGCATGCATTCCCACCAACTGAACCTCATGTCAAGAACATTCTTATAGAAATACTCTGGTACCAGGATCACTTGTATGCTTTTCATTACCATAAGAGGTCATGGTAGGAAGCTGCCTTATCCTTATGAAATCTAGCTCTGCACAGCCAATGGCTCACTAGAGTTCCAGATATGAACTCTATTCCAGCTGTATCTAGTTAAGAATTGCACTCATGACTTCTGCATGCATAGCAGATACTGTACCACTTAGATACAACCTTTCCCATATCTTTTTTCTCATATGAAAGCAGAAATACTGTAGTGCTCTCCTATTGAGCAGGTGGGAGATTATAATGTGAACTTTCTGACTGGGCCATGATTTGCACCAGGAACTCCTAGCCACATAGCCCATACTACCACAAGGAAGTAGCAGCTACACCCAGTTTCCCATATTAGAACTCATGCAATGATGACAAAGTCCAAGTAGCTGTTCAAGCCACATATTAATGCTGATGTATTAAGTCTTGTTATGAAGTTTTTTTTGGGGGGGGAGAGAGGCATGCCTCCTAAGCTTCTTTATTATCGGAGGCCAGAAAGAGGTATTCGGTTTTTGTTGAAGTTGTGTTGTTGCACATTTCACCATTCAACCTCTTTGCCTTAAGGTTTGGTATAATAAATCAAAGACGTAATAGCAGGTATTATAGGATCTGCTTACCTGGAAAGGTCCTGCAGGATTGATGGGTACATGTACTTGTTGCCACATATTTCCTTTGTCGCCTTTAAGTGACAAGGCTTGAGTGGGTTGCTTATTCTTCACATGAACCAGGAGATTTAAGGATCCTGTAAGGAAATGGCATGAAACACTGCAGTCATACTGCTTCTTTGCAGCAATCCTTTTGTCACAGAGATCAATTGACATTTGCATCTATATTAGATCTTGCACATTGGTTCTTTCACTGAATGCACAAGATGTGAGTATGGGCTATTAACAATCTATATATCTTTCATTATTGCAATCTTGGAGTAGAGATATAATTTAAATGTCTTATGCATTATTTCCCTGAAGATTTCTAGTTAATTCCTGGTTAATCTTATCCCAACTAGGATGCTCTTTAGACATTCAGTAAGTAATATCCCAGTTAATCTATGTCTCCATTCTCTCCTCCTCATTTTTCTTATGCTGATAAGGAAGATCTAAAGAAATGAACATGTTGCTGTCCTTTATTACTATCAGGACCCCTGATCTGGTATGGTTCTAGTGTCTTAGACTACAATATCTACATCCAGACAACCTTGGTTATAATTATTCTTGAGACTTTTGCCACCATGGGGAGGTTGAGGGAAACAAATTGTGACATAGATTGAAGAAATGCAGCATTGAAGATTGACACTGAACTATTTGCAAACCAAACTGCAAACTAAACTCAACTGCAGCCATGTAACAACAACAACAACAACAACAACAACAACAACAACAACAACAACAACAATAATAATAATAATAATAATAATAATAATAATAATAATAATAATAATAAAAGTTGGAAGGGACCTTGAAGGTCATTTAGTCCAACCCCCTGCTCAGGCCGGAAACCCTATACCATTTCAGACAAATGGCTGTCCAGTCTCTTCTTAAAAACTTCCAGTGTTGGAGCATTCACAGCTTCTGGAGGCAGGTTGTTCCACTGATTAATTGTTCTATGTCAGAAAATTTCTCCTTAGTTCTAGGTTGCTTCTCTCTTTGGTTAGTTTCCATCCATTGCTTCTTGTCTTGCCTTCAGGTGCTTTGGAGAATAGCTTGACTCCCTCTTCTTTGTGGCAGCCCCTGAGATATTGGAACACTGCTATCATGTCCCCCCTCGTCCTTCTCTTCGTTAAACTAGACATACCCAATTCCAGCAAACGTTCCTTATATGCTTTAGCCTCCAGTCCCCTGATCATCTTTGTTGCTCTTCTCTATACTTTGTCTCAATATCTTTTTTTACATTGTGGTGACCAAAACTGGATGCAGTATTCCAAGTGTGGTCTTACCAAGATGTTGTAAAGTAGTATTAACACTTCACATGATCTTGATTCTATCCCTCTGTTAATGCAGCCTAGCACTGTGTTGACTTTTTTGGCAGCTGCAGCACACTGCTGACTCATATTTAAGTGATTGTCCAGTAGGACTCCAAGATCCCTCTCACAGTTGCTACTATTGAGCAAGGTACCACCTATACTATATCTGTCACTTACTAAACACAAGTAGGGTACGTAGAAATCTATTCACTGAACAGAGGGTTAGATTCAATGGTCTACATTACCACTTCCAACTCAATGAATATGAATTCAAGTTCAGTTAACACTCCCTGTAGAAATTCTCTCCCAGAATCATCTTGCAGCATACACCTCTATAATAGGCATCTAAGGAGCATTAAAGCTAATAAAATATGTGTTTAATAGGCTTCTGGTCTGGCAGACCTTATCAAAGAGCTAGCTCCAATGAGCAAGCTCTTGTCTGCACATATTGTTTTCTGAAATGAATGTTTATTTAATTGATTTCCAAACGATCACCATGGGAAATGTGCTAGGATGGGCCAAAGCTATACAAATTTTGCATAGAAGACAATTTCCAATTGTAAGGTTGTAAATATACTGCTTGAGAGATTCACAGCCTGGCTTTTGAAAGAAACAGATACTATTAAGTTACTGAGCTCATAATTATATATAATATATATACATATACATATATACATACATACAGACCATTGAATCTAACCCTCTGTTCAGTGAATAGATTTCTACTTACCCTACTTGTGTTTAGCAAGTGACAGATATAGTACAGGTGGTACCTTGCTCAATAGTAGCAACTGTGAGAGGGATCTTGGAGTCCTACTGGACAATCACTTAAATATGAGATCAAAAAGTACATGGAATTTAGAGATTTAAGGGAGAAAGGACATATTTATTTCTGGAAGTAAGCTACCTGAAATCAGGAAGAACTAGTCTAATGGGGAGACAACTAGAATGGCATTCGCAACAGAACTTTTTAGAAAATGGCTGTGCAATTGCTGTTTACTAATGGTAAGTGCTATATAGTAGCATAATGGTTGGCCTGTGGTTGGACACATCCAGTTTGAAACTTCAAACTCCACTTAGGCCATGAGATTATTAGATGTTGTAGTGGAGCCTATCTCACAGAATTACTTATGAAGGTAAAGTAGAGGAAGATATGCCACTTTGAGCAGCACTTTTAATTACAAGACAATGCTTCCCCTAGAAATCAATTTGTCCTTTCTCCCTTAAATCTCTAAATTCCATGTACTTTTTGATCTATTGTAAATTACTAGTCATTCAAGACATGCTAAAAACACATAAAATCCAGATATTTCATTGGTCTCTTTAGGATGAATGCCATCACAACTTGTCTCTGTAATATCCAAAATTAATGATTAAAGAAAGAAGTCTAAACAAAATTAAAAAACTCTGCTTAAACCCATACTATTCTTAGACTATGTGTCTTAGGTGGTTTAAAAAAAATGTTTTCTGCGTAGGAAGGATGTTATGCGTGTTTGTTGGTGTGTGAATGGATGCTGATAGGTATAATTTAACTTCACTGTGGTAATAGAAGCATATATCTGCAGAATGAACTATTAGTGTTAAACCAAAGAACATAGTCAATTTTGGCCATCTGAGGAGTGTAACTTGAAGGAAGGAGAAACAGGTTAGCCTGGCTCTGTGACCCTGGACAGATGGCCAATTACGATTTCACTTGCTTTGCTTTATGGATAGGCTGATTTTTCCTTAAATGGAAAATCTGAGTAATATGCTTTAAACCAGAAGTTTTAAGTTTGGTGATTTACATCCCTAATTTAAACCATTCCACTCTAGAATCAACTACTGTCCCTAACAGCTAAGAAGTAAAAGATTTCCTTGACATTATTCACCAGATTACTGTTCTGAAGAGGCAGGCAGCAATATTACACAGCAAGCAGGTTGTGTTTTACCACAAAAATGTGACTACACACCGCATTTTCATGGCTACACATTCTAATAGAACCCAAATAAAATAAAATGGAATTGCCATATTTAATTCTGTAAATCTAGAAACATATTAATCAGCTCCAAAGGGTATTGTAGGAGGGGTGGGCTAACACTCAAATATTTGAGTTCTGGTGTGCTATGGATATTTTCTTCTGATATCTGAGTTTATACATATTCCACATTGGGACCAGGCTAGCAACAGAACTAGCCTGGTCTGTTCCAACATTGCCTTAATTAAATGTGCATGCATGCATTATACACATATAATAAGCACAACAATTATCTCATGAACCACAGGAATGGGCATTTCAGGCTCCATTTGAAATAAACTGCTTTTCTGAACCGTGGAGCCTTTTCTACCTGAACTACTAGATTTCAGTTTCCTGTTCCTTAGGGAGGGGAACAAACACACAAAAACTATTTGTTAAATTCCCTACTTTTCCCTGCTGGCTCCCCCCACCCCATATTTCTCCTGACACAACTTCATTCATGTACAACATGGCCCCTACTTTATGCTATTGCCTTGGGCACTGTGGCTCTCACATCTCTCCAAACCATTAAGCCTGATTCACAGCCAATGAAAGTTTGCTCATCCTTTATGTTCAGTAATGCACTATCTGGATGAAATCTGTTCTCCCACCACTAGAAGAAGTTGGTCCTTGGCAAACTTATAAAAGGTTATACTCTTCATTTTCAGTTTTCAGTCTTTTTTAACTTCTGATACCTTTATGAAAATGGAAATCAGATATTATCCTGTAGCTGTTCCACAAATCAGTGAAAACCTGGCTTTGTTCCCAGGCTGGGCATAGGGTGGTTGTTAAGACAATGTTAGTTGTTTTTTTTTTTTAATGTATTCGCTTGTTCTGGACATGCATGGTTTTTCCCCCCTTTTCTCTTTCTTTACTTTTTAGATATAAGCCACCTAGAGTCATTGGTCAAATAAATCCAAATGAAAAAACAAACCACCAAATAAACAAAGTCATAATTTGACTTTTATAGTGAGACTGCTGGGGTAGCTCTGATGAGTTTTAACAAGAACAATTTTATGTTAGCAACACTTCTTGCAGGACCATTTCCATCAGTTTGAATGGGAAGCACTAGGTCAGTTCAATAAAAGAATCCTGTCCACATCTCAAGCTTTAAGAAATAATCCTGAAAACTATTTTGGAACAAATCTTTTGAACAGAGAAATTGAATTTTAATGGACATCTCTCTCTCTCTCTCTCTCTCTCTCTCTCTCTCTCTCTCTCTCTCTCTCTCTCTCTCTCTCTCTCTCTCTCTTTCTCTCTCTCTCTCCCCCTCCCTCCCTCCCTCCCTCCCTCCTTCAAGCTGGATAAATGCCAGACATTGCACTCTTTAAGTTGTGAAGACATCTGGCGGAGACTTACATTTTCTTCATTATCCACCCAAGAATCCCTAACATTTCTGGCTCACATCATGGATAATAATCAATTTAGCAAAGAAATGCCAGGAAATCAGGGATCATTCGGTGTTCTGATCTTATCTACTCATCCTAATTACAACCTTCCAGGCAAAAAATATGGCAGCACAGCCAGTAGTGGAGCAAATTATCCAGAAAATGAATTCTAATGCCTGTATGAAGAAGGCAAAGAACAAAAGGAAGTGAAGCAGCATCTGGAAAGCAAAAAAATATGCATGCTTTAAAATTCTCACCACCAAGCAAACTGAAACAATGCAAATCCTTTGCAGAAAGTTGCATGTCTACAACAGTCAAGGAAGGAACAGGAATCAAGAAAATGCCATTTTCTCGACTGGCGATTCGGGAAGCATTTTGAAGGAATTGTGGTTTATTGGTT